GTATTCCAGGCGTGGTCTTACTAGGGTTTTATAAAGTGGTACTAGTACTTTGCGTGTTCTTGATTCTATCCTTCTGTTTATACAACCCAGGATTGTATTAGCTTTTTTGGTTGCTGCTGCACACAGCTGGCTCATAGTCAAGTGATCGTCCACTAGGACTCCAAGGTCCTCTCACAGTTACTGTTTTTAAGCCAGGTCTTGCCCAATCTGTATTCGTGCCTTTGGTTTTTCCTGCCTAAATGTAAGACTTTGCTTTTCTCCACATTGAAACTCAGTATCTATCTATTATTTTTCTGTCCGTCCGTCCGTCTGTCCATTCATCTATCCATTATCTGTCTGTCTATCCATCTGTCCATCCATCCATTATCTGTCTCTGTCTGTCTGTCTCTCTCTCTCTGTATCTACCTACCTACCTATCATCTACCTATCATCTACCTTTCTGCCTATTTATGTAGTTTACATAGTTTACATATATTGCAAACATGAGTCTTGGGAGTTTACAATACAACAATTAAAAATAGGTCTAAAATGACACTTAAAAATAACCCAACATGAATATAAATGAAGGAGAATGGACCAATATCCTATACATAACACCACCACTTTGTAGGCTCCCTATTTCCATGGGATCCTCAAGCTTGTTGGGAAATCCATGGTTTGAGAGGCCAATAGGGTCTTTTTAAATACTTTTAAAATCTAAATTACTTTTTAAAGCTTCTGATTGATACTTTTCACTTTACAGGTAGTTGCGAGGCATGAGGACTTGCTGGCACAAGCAACTGGCATAGAGTCTTTGGAAGGTAAGCAAGTTTCGTTTATTGGAAGCTTATGCATCAGTGTGCATCAGTATTATGTTTTAAACCAGGCATGTCAAACTGCCGTCACGCCGAAACTGCACCCACCCCATTGCCGGCAATGGGGAGAAAAAGCCACGTGACGTCGCGAGTTTGACATGCCAGTTTGAAACCGTTGTTTCTCAACCTTCCGAACTTTAAGCTGTGTGGACTTCAACTCCCAGAATTCCCCAGCCAGCAGAATTGTGGAAGTTGAGGTCCACGCAGCTTAAAAGTTCACAAGATTGAGAAACACTTTGCTAAATCCGTTTCCAAAGTGGTATTTTTTTTAGGTGCGTCATTTAGGGACTTGGTAAATAAAAAAATTACAAAAGTCTCAGTAGAGAAAAAGCAATATGCATCCCCAATCAGTCCTCATAAATTATATCTTAAATATCTAGATTATATGTTCGTGTTTTGTTTTCTATTAATGCATTAATGCAACACAGGCAGCTTAATGTTCAGAAAGCGGCCGTAAGTGTGGAAAATGGTCATCCGTCCCTTTTTTCAGTGACTTATCTAACCTTGAACGGTCACTAAACAAATAGTCGTAAGTCGAGGACTACAACTCTGTTCTGTTTTTGGCCCCTTTCATACTTATTTATGTTGCCAGCAGATGGAGCAGTTCTTAACTGATTTTCCACACCTAACTTTTCTGGCTGCGTGGAAATGTTCTGTATAGAAAAGAACAGAGAAACAATAATATGCATAAGCAATCTATAATACAGATTTGGATAATGACACTTTTTTTAAAAAATAAGAAAGCACTTATAGTACATGAATTATAGTACATTGCAATATTAGGGACAGTGCAGTGGTGAATAGAATGTGAAGGATGTGTGTATATAATGTATGATCTTATTTTGGTTTTTACTTGTGTGTAGTGTGCACTGTGGGCAGCACTTAATTTTGTTGAGAGTTACAAAGTGATAATAAAGATTATTCCATTCCATTCTCTGTTCCATTCCATTCCATATTCTATTCCATTCCATATTCTATTCTATTCTATTCCATTCCATATTCTATTCCATATTCTATTCTAGTCCATATTCTATTCTATTCTATTCCATTCCATATTCTATTCTATTCCATTCCATTCCATATTCTATTCCATATTCTATTCTATTCTAGTCCATATTCTATTCTATTCTACTCTATTCTACTCTATTCTGTTCCATTTCATTCCATTCTATTCTACTCTATTCTATTCCATTCCATATTCTATTCCATATTCTATTGTATTCTATTCTAGTCCATATTCTATTCTACTCTATTCTATTCCATTCCATATTCTATTCCATATTCTATTGTATTCTATTCTAGTCCATATTCTATTCTATTCCATTCCATTCCATTCTATTCTATTCTATTCTATTCCATATTATATTCCCATTCCATTCTATTCTATTCCATATTCTATTCTATTCCATATTCTATTCCCATTCCATTCTATTATATTCTATTCCTATTCCATTCCATTCTATTCTATTCTATTCTATTCTATTCCATATTCTATTCCTATTCCATTCCATTCTATTCTATTCTATTCTATTCTATTCCATATTCCATTCCTATTCCATATTCTATTCTATTCCATATTCTGTTCTGTTCTATTCCATTCTATTCTTTCCATTCCATTCCACTCCTTTCCACTCCATTCTACTCCATTCCATTCCTTTCCATCCGTTCTATTGCATTCCATTCTATTCTATTCTTCATTCCGTTCCATTCTCTTCCATTCCGTTCCTTCCCTTCTACTCCATTCCATTCTATTCTTTCCATTCCTTCCCTTTCCTTCCCATCCCTTCTATTCTATTCCATTCTACTCCGTTCTATTCATTCCATTCCATCCTTTCCTTTCCTTTCCTCATTCCACACTCCACATTCCAGGCTCCAGCTGTTTCAGCCTCCGAAATGAGCCAGTTTTCAGACTGAAAACTTTGAACAGCCCTGGGAGAGATATTAGGTGGCCAACCCCACTACATACACTTTCCATTCTGTTCAATAATGCATGATATTGAGTCTGAATCCTGTCTCCGTTATGTGTAAGTGACTAAGCATTGACAAATGTGTGGGCTGACACGTTCTTATTGCTTCATGTCCGTATGCTGAGCCTTCTCGGGTCCATATATAGAATTGGACTCCTACAGAAAAATGACTTTATACTTGCGGTAGCATCTGTAGCCTGGAAGGTACATCTGAAAAAAAAAAATACGTGAAAATGATTGTAGCCTCGTTGGGAGAAAATGAACCAAAAGGGTCTTTTGATAACTGAATGCCGTATAAAAAAATGTTAAGTGTTTTCCTGTTTTGCTTGAATTTATTTTTTTTTCCCCGTTTGGAAAGATATTTCTGCACGGTTACTCGCTGTTTGCAAACCTGCTCTTATATAATTAACAGGGCTTCCCTTCAGAATCGCTTTCTTTTAAGTCATTTCAGAATTACTTTTAAGTAAAAAAAAGAAGGATCTTGACAGGTTTCAGCATTGGGCCCTATCCAGCCAGATGCAGTTCAGTGGTCTCGCCGAGTTAAGGCCCTGCACTTAGGCAGGAAGAATCAAATGCACAGAATACAGAATAGGTGATACCTGGCTCACCTGTACAGGTAGTCCTTGACTTACGGCCACAATTGAGCCCTAAAATTTCTGTTTTGTTAAGTGAGATATTTGTTAAGTGAGTTTTGCCCCATTTTACGACCTTTCTTGACACAGTTGTTAAGTGAACCACTGCAGTTGATGACAAATGGTCATCCTATCTCTTCTTAAAAACTTGCAGTGTTGGAGCATTCACCGCTTCTGGAGGCAGGAAGTTCCACTGGTTAATTGTTCTCACTGTCAGGAAGTTTCTCCTTAGTTCTAGGTTGCTTCTCTCCTTGGTTAGTTTCCACCCGTTGCTTCTTGTCCTGCCTTCAGGCGCTTTGGAGAATAGCTTGACTCCCTCTTCTTTGGGGCAGCCCCTTAGAAATTGGAACAAACCTAGTCCCTATACAATTTCAGACAAAGGGTTGTCCAATCTCTTCTTAAAAACCTCCAATGTTGGAGCCCCCAAACTTCTGGTGGCAAGCTGTTCCACTGGTTAATTGTCCTCACTGTTAAGAAGTTTCTCCTTAATTCCAGGTTGCTTCTCTCCTTGATGACTTTCCATCCATTGTTTCTTGTTCTGCTTTCTGATGCTTTTTATATTAACTTAGCAGGTTATTTAATGGTGTTTTTATATTAACTCTAAACTTAGCAGGTCATTTAATAGCAAAGGACCATTTTTTTTGGCTTAGTCTAAAGACTAGAGGCTAAAACATATAAAGAACGGTTGCTGGAATTGGGCGTGTCTAGTTTAATGAAGAGAAGGACCAGGAGGGACGTGATAGCAGTCTCCCAGTATCTCAGGGGCTGCCCCAAAGCAGAGGGAGTCAAGCTATTCTCCAAAGCGCCTGAAGGCAAAGACAAGAAGCAACAGATGGAAACTAATCAAGGAGAGAAGCAACCTAGAACGAAGGAGAAACTTCCTGACAGTTAGAACAATTAACCAGTGGAACAACCTGCCTCCAGAAGCTGTGGATGCTCCAAAACTGGAAGTTTTTAAGAAGAGACTGGACAGCCATTTGTCTGAAACGGTATAGGGTTTCGTGCTTGAGCAGGGGGTTGGACTGGATGACCTCCAAGGTCCCTTCCAACTACTACTACTACTACTACTACTACTACTACTACTACTACTATTTCTTCTTCTTCTTCTTCTTCTTCTCCTTCTCCTTCTCCTTCTCCTTCTCATCATCATCATCATCATCATCATCATCATCATCATCATCATCATCTTTATTATTATTATTATTATTTATTAAGTCTAGCAGTTTGCTCCAAAAGCAATCAGCTTGATGCCAACAGCGGTGTTTTTCAATTTTGGCAACTTTTAAAATATGTTGGACTTCAACTCCCAGAAGTCAGAAGTCAAACCTAAGCACAGTCCACTGACATTTGTTAAATACCGTATTCTTTTCATCGGGTAACTGGTTGGGGATTGCTGTAGGCAATTTAACGGTTTTTCTGTTAATGGAGAGCTTTAAAAATTCTGGATTATCCTTCAGGCTTTAGATTCTGAGCTGCAGGTTTTGAACAGACCAACCGTGTAGGATTTAGCTTCTCCTGATGGGTCCTCATTCCATTTTTCTTTACATAAACGAGATGCACACAACGCTTGGATTCTTAATGCAGGAGTGTTTACCTGGATAGTCAGCTTCCAGGGGCTGCTGAGACAACTGGTTAAAAAAAAAAAGGAATAAATTTAGAAAGCGTCATATTCCTCAGCTGTACATCTCGTCGATTTTACAATGCATCCCATGATTTTATTTCCGGAATATATTTACCGTGGGATTTGGGGCGATTAAGTCTAATCAGCTTGCTATTATATTTGGTTGCATCACCCCCCCAGCAGGGATTTTGGTGACACAGGAACAATTCTGGGTGATCTGATCCTGGAATGTAAACCAAGTGGGTCGTAGCAACCCTGTAGACAGATTCATCCTTTCAATCACCTATTTTCATCTTCATCCATTGGACGGATGCCCTCCCCTCACCCATGAGATCCTACCGCCCCTTCTTTTTCTGTCAAAGTTGGACCCGCACCCTGAAAGCAAAGCTTTGTAAAATGCAAGCATCATCATCATCGTCGTCGTCGTCGTCGTCGTCATCATAAAGTTGGAAGGGACCTAAGAGGTCATCTAGTCCAACTCCCTGCTCAGGCAGGAAACCCTATACCAGGGGTAGGCAACCTTGGCTCTTTTATGGCTCGTGGACTTCAACTCCCAGAATTCCTGAGCCAGCCATGCTGAGGGGAAAGGGAGAGATTTCCAAGCTGAGCCATGCTGGCT